GTGATATACTTTCTATGGGCTTTGAGAGAAGTTTAATCATATGTAGCCTACTATGTACAGAATAGTTTCCTGCTCTAAAAACTCCCTGTGTTCTACCTAGTTATTCCTCGTTTCCTTTTGTCAAATTCCTGGCAATCACTGATCTGCCTCCATGGCTTTTCTTTCTCAGTATGTCATGTAGTTGAGAACTATAGTATGTAGCCTTTTCAGATTGCCTTTTTTTTTTTTTTGATGGTACTGTGACCTTGTACTTGCCAGGCAAAGGCTCTACCACTGAACTACATCATCAGAACCAGCTTAGCTTCTTTCTCTGCAAAACTGCACTTAGATTCCCCTTCTCTTTTCATTATTTTAAAATGTTTTGTTTGCTTTTATTTTATGTGTGTATGAGTATTTTGCCTGAATGTATATAAATATACCATGTGCAGTGCACATGAAGGCCAGAAGAGGGGGTTGGATCCCTTGGAACTGGAGTTACAGGCAGTTGTTAGCTGCCATGTGGGTGCTGGGAACTGAACTGGGTCCTCTGGAAGAACAGCAAGTGCTCTTAACCTCTGAGCTGTCTCTCCAGCCCCGATGGTTCATTACTTTTTAGCATTAATACTGTATAAATAAAGTTTCTATATTCAGCTATGAAAGGCCATCCTGATGGCTTGTGGTAATGATGAATTAAGTGTCTCTAAATGTACATGTGTAGATTTTTGTGTGTACATACATTTTCAGCTCCTATGCATAGATGCCAAGAAGCACAATTTGTAGAGCATACAGTTAAGAGTGTTTAGTTTTGTAAGAAACAGCTCAAGCTGGGTGTGGTGGTTCAAGACTTTAATCCTAGCACTTGGGAGGCAGTGGCAGGTGGATCTCTGTGAGTTTGAGGCCAGTCTGGTCTACATAGTTAGTTCCAGGTCAGCTGTGGCTACACGGAGACCCTATCTCAAAAAGACCAAAAAATAAAAATTTAAAAAATTAAAGTGACTGCATGGTCCTGCATTCTACAGCAGAATTTGGCATCATCAGCATTTTGGGAACTTCATCCTTCTAATAACTGTGTCTTTGTCATTGTAGCTTGTATCTCTCTAATGATACACATGTAGAACATCTTTGTCACACTTATCTTCTGTCTGTATACCTTTGATGAGATGCCTTCTCTCATCTTTTGCCCTTTTTAAATTGAGTTGTTTCCTTAGTGTTGTGGAAGTTCTTTGTGTATTTTAGATACCAATCCTTCACTAGATAGATATTTTGCAAATATGTTCTCTAAGCTTAAGCTTTATCTTTTTTTTGTCCTTCTTTCTTCTCTTTAGCCCAGGCTGGCCTGGAACTTGCTAAGAAGCTCAAGCTTACCTGGAATTCATAAGAGCAATCCTCCTGCTTCAGCCTCCCAAGTGCTAAAATTATAGGAGTTAAGATCTTATTGCTATATAGACTAGTCAAGGTATCAGCTCTTGTCCTCCTTTTTCATCTAACACGAACTCATCTCTCTGGTCACAGAAGACTGATGAAAACCTGAGGACAGATTTGACACTAAGAGCATCGTCCATGAAAGAAAAATTTACTTGGAGGTAGGAGATTGCCTGAGTCCAGAATTTGAGGTCAGTCTGGGCAACATGGTAAGACCTTGTATAAAAGTTTTTTGCAGAGTGCTGGGTAATGGCTGCGCAAACCTGACAACCTGAGTTCAGATCCTCAGAACCAGCATAAAAAACTGACATAGTAGCCGGGCGTGGTGGTGCACGCCTGTAGTCCCAGCACTTGGAGGCAGAGGCAGGCGGATCTCTGTGAGCTCAAGGCCAGCCTGGTCTACATAGTGAGTTCCAGGACAGCTGGGCTACAGGGAGACCCTGTCTCAAAGAGACAAAAAACAAAAAACTGTTGTAGTAGTTAGAGCATCAGCTAGGCTGAAGACAGGAGACTTGACAGAAACTTGAGGGCCAGGTAGCTTGGTGTACTCAGCTGAAAAGCATCAAGCACCCTGATCTCAAATAAGGTAGAAAGTGAGGACTGATACTTGAGGTTGTCCTCTGGTTTTCACACACACTGTAGCACGAGCACCTCCCCCCCCACAATTTTTTTAAAATGAATTATACTCCATTAAAATTAAAAACTGGGGTTGGTGAGATGGCTCAGCAGGTAAAAACACTTGCTATCAAGTCCAACAGCCTGACTGTGATCCTTGGATCCCACATGGTAGAAGGACAAAATCAACACTTACAAGTTGTTCTCTGACCTTTACATGAGTGCTATGGCATGTATCCTCCAGTAGATAATAAATACATGTTTTTTTGGGTTTTTTTTTTTCTATCTTTTTGAGACAGGGTCTCCCTGTAGTCCCAGCTGACCTGAACTCACTATGTAGACCAGGCTTGAACTCACATGAACTCACTATGTAGACCAGGCTGGCCTTGAACTCACAGCCATCCACCTGCCTCTGCCTACTGAGTGCTGGGATTAAAGGCGTGTACCACCACACCTGGCTTAAATACATGTTTTAAAAATTAAAAACTGACCAGCTGTAGTAGCACATACCTGTAATCCCAGCACTTGCACTTGGGAGGCAGAGGCAGGAGGATCAGAAGTTTGAGGCCAGCTTAGGCTATGTAGTGAGACTCTGTCTCAAAAAACAACAGTTAAAAACTCTGCAAAGGACGCGTTGTTAAGAAAATAAAGCAGGGCATTAGTTATTGCTATAATAGCCATGTAATAAAACCACCTCAGAAAGCAAAGGTTTATGATAATTTATTTCTCTTTCACATGTATATAGGTCAGCTGGGGTTCTGCTGATCTAGGCTGGGCTCAGCTGGATTTGGTGTGAAAGCTGGTCCAGATCTGTTCCTCATGTTATTCATCTTCCTTGGTCCATGTTCTAATAAGGGCAAAGGGCTGGAAGACAGGCTCTGTTTCACAAGACATTCCAAGCCTGTTTGCTTTTACTAATATCCCATTGGCCAAAGCAAAAAGTCTCATAGCCAAGCTCAAAGCAGTGGGACAGGCTTGTGTACCCCTCCCATGGGTTACTAAACAAATATCTAAAATTCTCCAATTCATAAGAGCAAATTTCTATTGCAAAATTGTAAGACCCTGGACTTTGCTTTCAGACTTCCAAATATACATCCCAAACCAAAAACCAAGAGAGCAACTAAGTTACAAACTAGGAAAGTTGTGATGTGTGTGTGTGTGTATCAAATTATATATGATATATACATATAAACACAAATGATGTTGATGATACAGGTTTCAGGTTTCAACTATTTCAATAACTCCCTCCCCAAGTTAAGTCATAAAAACTAAAATATCTCTTCCCTAAGTTAGGTCATAGAAACTCTAATCTTCCCTTGCCTTTCTTGGAGCTGATCATAAAGAAATCTTGATCGACTCTCATAGTATGTGATAAAGGCTTCCTCATTCCAATGAGACCCTAACCCATAGCTTGGAGGAAGGAAAGCTACACAGAGAGGAAAAGAATATAAAAGAGTCTGCTGTGTTTTCTCACCTAGTTTACTAGTAATCATATCTAAGCAATAAAGTCTCCATAAAACTAAAAGGACAGGGTTCAGAGAGCTTCCAGATAGCTGAACACATGAGATTTCTGGAGGGTGGCAGGTCTGGAGAGGACACGGAAGTTCCATGTGGCCTCTTTCTTCGTCTTTTCTTTTGTCACATCCTTTTTTTTGGTCTTTTTGAGACAGGGTCTCCCAGTAGCCTCAGCTGTCCTGGAACTCACTATGTAGACCAGGCTGGCCTCGAACTCACAGAGATCCGTCTGCCTCTGCCTCCAGAGTGCTGGGACTACAGGCGTGCACCACCATGCCCAGCTGTCACATCCTTTTTAATAAAACAGTAACCCCCACCCCCCTATTCTCTTCCTGAGTTCTGTGAGCAGCTTGAGTGAATTAATCAAACCTAAGGAGGGAGCTATGGGGAGTCTGGTTATTAGTTATTGGGTCAGAAGTATAAATAAAACAGCCTGGGACTTGAGACTAGTGTCTAAAGTAACAGAGGAAGTGTTGGGGACTGAGCCCCCACCTGTAGGATCTAACAGTACTTCCAGGTAGTTAAGGTTAGAACTAAACCAGATGAGAGGATGCCCCTACCTAGAGGGCTGGTAGGGAGGAATCCCCACACCTTTTAAGATCATGGAAGCAGGGGTGGGGGTGGGGAGGGAGGAGGCAGCTGTGATGTGAAAACAAGAAAAGAAGTGACATTTTTTTTCCTCTATAGACACATGTAAATTAAAACCCTGCAGGCCTTAATTTCCAGTATTTTTATGCCCAGTTCCTGAGGTTAGACCTGAGCTCCTGAGAAATACAGAGTCAATTCCGTAGGTATAGGGTTCCTTGTGACCCTAGGATTTGTTGTGATGTACAGCCTCCAGGAGAAAAGTGTCATCGCATCCCATCCCATTGTTGCCCCCCACCCCCACTCCTTTCCCATGACAAAAGCTAGGAACCTTCTTGTTCCCTCTGCTTCCTGTCACGCCTTCCTATCATCCTCTGGAAAGCTGTCTACCTCCTTTGAGAGAGGGCTTCTCATTGACCTGGAGCTCACAAATTAGGCTAGGCTGGCTGGACAGTGATCCCCAAAGATCCTCCTGCTGCCACTCCCTAGAGCAGAGTACAGGCACGAGCCACACCAAGCTTTTTTTTTTTTTTTGGTCTTTTTGAGACAGGGTCTCCCTGTAGCCCCAGCTGTCCTGGAACTCACTATGTAGACCAGGCTGGCCTTGAACATGCAGAGATCCGCCTCCCTCTGCCTCCCAAGTGCTGGGACTACAGGCCTTCGCCACCATGCCCAACACCAAGCATTTTTTTTCCTGAGTTCTGGAGATTGAACCAAGGTCCTTGTGCTTGCTAGGCAGGCAGTTTTCTGATGGAGCTATCTCCCCAGCCCTGACTCTGACTTTTCTTCACACTTCAGTCCTCTGGGAAGGTCTTTCTGATAATGTTACACAGCAAGAAGGCAAATAGGTATTTGGGAACTGTAAAGAGAGGGGTAAAGCCTTTGATATCGTATCTTTTATTTAAATACTTGTTATTTTAAACCACAACTGTAGCTGGAATTCAGCTATCCCAAGCAATGGAAATATCAACTTGTGGGCCTCTTGAGAACAGCAGATTGCAGATGGCTAGAGTCAAAAAGAGATGTGAAGGCCAACCTGCCCACTTCATAGCTGAGGAATGTCTGGAGTGTGTGTGTGTGTGTGTGTGTGTGTGTGTGTGTGTGTGTGTAGGTGACTGGGAGTGGGAAGAATGGTGGTGGCACTAGAGCTCAGCACAGGCACTGCTGGGGCTCCTGGCTCTGCTCCCATCCTGTCCATCAAGGCTGCTGTTGATACTGGCTCTCAGTGGCTGTGTAGAAGTCATCCAGCACACTCTGGATGTATTCAAAGGTGGGCCGCTCCTCTGGGCGGTTCTTCCAGCAACGGGTCATGATGTTGTACAGCTCTTCTGGGCAATGCTCTGGTCGAGGCATCCGGTACCCGTGCTCTAGTGCTCGGATCACTTCTGGGTTGGTCATTCCTGAGAAAGAGACATGGAAATAAGACATGCCCCCCAGCCCATTACTACCCCCCCCGAAAAAAACCCCTTGTCAAACACCTGTGGTCCCTGATTTTACTTTTATTTTTAGTTAAAAAAATTTTTAAACTTCTTTTCTTTGTGGAAACCAGCGTCTCAGTATGTAACTCAGGTTAGCTTGGAATTCACTATGTTGCCCAGCCTGGCCTTGAACTCAGAGCAATATTCATGCCTCGGCACCCTGAGAGCTGGATTTGTAGACATGAGCCACCAAGCCTGGGTGATCCTCAATTTTATGTTATCAATCTTGAATTTCAAGCTCATGTACTTACTTACGTATTAAGTGCTTCCTTAAACATCTTACTTGGATATACATATATATGTGACCACAAATTAACAGATAAATCAACTCAAATTTCCACTTTTGATTTGTTCTTTTGATACCAGGATAACCATCCTTGACGGTCTTTCCTAGCAAGCTATATATATCCTTTCTTCTTTTGAAATGTAGCCCAGTTTATCAACTTATCTCTGTTGCCAGTTCCATCACCCTGTCCTGTCCACAGCTGTGTGGGTGCTGCCCCGTTCTCACACTCCTATCTACTCGCCATGAACCAAAGTGTGCATCTCTCTTTTGAAAAAATTATTTTTACTTTATGTGTGAGTGTTTTGCCCACTTGTATGTATCTGAACCACATGTATACCTGGTGCCCACGGAGGCCAGAAGAGGACCTCACATCCCCTGCAAATGGAGTTTAAGACAGTTTTAAGCTAGCATGTGGGTGCTGGGAACCAAACCTGGGTCTTCTGCAAGAGTAGCAAGCACTCTTAACTGCTGAGCCATTTGTGCAGCCCCAAGCATGCATCTCCTAAAAGTAGAAATCAGATCCCTTTCTCAGCCCCACACCTTTCCATGACTTACTAGAAACTTCAGTTAACACACTCTTTACCATACCATGGACCCTGTCCATACCGGCCTCTGTTGGCCTTGTCCGCTTCCACCTGCTCAAGTAGCTGAACTTTGTGATTACTTAGGTGTGATGAGGAGTGGGAAAGAAGGAATGGTCAACGGAACCCCTAGACTGCAGGCTGAGGTGGATGATGGTACCTCTAATTGAAATGAGAAAGGTGAAGGGAGATTGGAGGAGGATCATGAGCTTAGTTTAATAGACATATTGACAAGAAGGACCATTGCCAGGCTGGCTTCTAGACACATCCCTAAGCTGATGTCCCTTTCCCTACCTGGGTAAGGGATCCGGCCATAGGTTACAATCTCCATCAGCAGGATACCAAAGGACCAGATGTCTGACTTAATGGTGAAGGAACCAAAGTTGATGGCTTCAGGAGCTGTCCACTTGATGGGGAACTTGGCTCCTGCAGGGTTGGACAGGGCAGAGTCAGGGTGAGTCTGGGGAGCAGAGGGCCAGGACTCTGCCAGAATGAGAGGAAATAGGACAGGGACAACAGATGCTCCTGCAGAGTCTGCAAGTGACACGCCTTCCCCTGTGGTATCAAGGGACATCCGCACTGAGGACAGACAGCTGGAGCAAGGAGAAGTGGGCAGAGGGGTATAGCCTGGGAGTTCACTCTGCGGAGCCACCTCTTTGATTCAGCTGATACCCAGTGAATTATAGTTCAGAAAAGTGGAGTCATAGGGATCACAGAATCTTTGGGACAGAGGGGCTTCAGGAGGCCTTGAGTCTAGGTCACAGCTGATGCCTCGGTCCTCTCCCTTTGACCTTGGGGATTAGGGCAGGAATTTGGCTGCCACTTGAGGTTTGATTTACACCAGTCACTGTTCCTCCCCAACTCCTCTCTTCCTTTCTTCCCTCTAGGATGGGTTTGTTAGCTGTTTGTTGGTACTTGTCATCATTACAGTCTGATTGGGGGACATGATTTGTAGGATATATAGATGCTCCTTGACTTATGATTATCCTCTGATAAAGCCATCATAAGTCAAAAGTACCATAAGTCAAAAATGCCTCCAATACAGTTAACCTACTGAACATCCTAGTTTAGTAACAGCACGTCATGGGTTCTTGGCTGTTTCCCCTGGTGATCTCTTTGCTAATGCAGAGCTGCAGTTTACTGCCAGGGGCCCAGTATCTTGAGAGAGTATTACTAGGCAGGGAAAGAGATCAAAAGTCAAAGTGGGAAGTTTGCACCCTCCTTCCCTCCCTTCTTTCCTTTCATTTGTGAGACAAAATCTCAGATAGCTTAGGCTGATCTTGAACTCACTATGTAGCAGAGAGCAGATGGCCTTGAACTCCTGATCCTCCTGCCTCCACTTTCCCAGTGCTGAGATTACAGGTATGTGTGGCCCCATCTAACTTTGCATAGTTTTTTTTTGTTTTTTCTTCCTTTTTCTGAAAACAACAGTGTTTGCATCATGAAGTTGAAAATCAGGTTGCCCCAGGCAGCTGCCTTGGGAGTCCCACCTTCAGTCACCTCCTCTGCTGCCATCTACAGCCATGTCCCTACCATGGCTGGCAGAGCACACAGGCTGAGTGCTGAGGTGCTGGATCAGATGCTACAAACTGCAGGGCTTGTGAGGTGGAAGGAACCTGAAAACTGCAAGCAGTTTCATTTCAAAGACTTCAGCAGGACTTTTGACTTTATGTTAAGAGTAGCCCTGCAGGCTGAGAAGCTGGACCACAAGGTCCACATCACACTAACCACCTATGAGCCTTTCGGAGCTGCACATAAACCTGGCAGGCTTCACCCAGGAAGCAGCAGCACCCATGGCAGACTCTGCCCTTCTTTACACACCTCAGGAGAAGGAGGTGACTGAACTGGGACCCCCGACTCTTGCTGCAGTCCATCTGATTTGAGCTGCCATGTTGACCCTATTGCCTCCATTTAGGGTTGGGTGCCCCCTGTGGAAAGATGCCAGTGTCACTGCCAACACCAGGAACTGAGACCTTTTCACCTTTAGGGCTCTATCATATGACAATAGTTTGAGTAAGTGCTCTCTGCCTTTGCAACTTCCCTGCAATGATGCTCCATCCAGGTTGGGTCTTTTTTTCTTCCTAATTCACTTCCCAATCAGCTATGACTGAGGGTGAATAAAGTCTTGTTTCAGACCCCAGGGCCTAAAGCAAACCCCACTGCGCAATGGAAACACTTGTACCCTTTTTATGTTTCTTAAAACTATTGAAAAAAAATTGAACTATTGTTGAATAAAATCATCTGCAGGTTCTTTGGAATTGGGTAAGGCCTGCATTACAGCTGAGCATATGGTTAAGTACCTGAAAGTTCTCTTTCTCCATCATGGCATGCTTAACCTTAAATGGGACATCTGTGTCACACCCCTCACCCCAAGGCTCAGAGATCATAAAGAAAAAGGGTGTGAAAAGACTAAAAGTTAGAGTCAGTGGAGGACTGCTGCAAAACAGTGCTTTCAGACATGACAGGGCCTTTGCACACCTGAACTCATAGCGGCTGTGACTTCATGCACAAGACCTGCACAAGATCAAGACAACTAAAGCCCCAGCATGGATAGAGATTGGTCGTCGAAGTCCACTCCTAGCTATTAGCCACTGATGGCTGTTGGAAGGAGAGTCAGTTTTCATCAGGGATGCAGCCCTTAACAGACCACTGATGCTCCAGTGGGTGGCCTTACACCTGTGCACATGTTGACAGTGCTCAGTGGGTTTTTAAAGAATCAGTGAAGTTCGGAGGGAGAGGTGGCAATGAGGATATACGCATGTATGAAATTCTCAACAACCAAAAATTTTAAAAAGCCAGTATTTTTTAAAAAAAATCTTTTTGAGACAGGGTCTCCCCGTAGCCCCAGCTGGCCTGGAACTCCCTATTAGTTTGAGGCTGGCATCAAACTCACTAAGATCTGCCTGCCTCTGCCTCCCAAGTGCTGGAACTAAAGGTGTGTGCCACCACGCCCGGCTAAAACCAGTATTTCTAGAAAAAAACAAAAAACCTGTCTCATTTTTCTCTCCTCCCCCTTTCTTTTGAAAATTTAATTTTTAAATTTTTTATTTTTTATTATGTGTATGAGTGCTTTGCCTGCATGTATGCAAGTGTACCTGTGTTATACAGTGCCCACATAGGTCAGAGGAAGACATTGGATCCCCTGGAACTGGTGTTAAGGACAGTTCATAGCCACTATGTGGGTGCTGGGAATTGAACCTGGGTCCTCTGGAAGAGCAGCCAGTGCTCTTAACTACTGAGCCATCTCTCCAGCCCCTTTTCTTTTTCTTTTTTAAAATTAAAAACAATTGTTACTGGTGCACGCATGGAGGTCAGAGAACAACTTGTGGGAATCAGTTCTTTCCTTCTACCACGTGGGTCCTGGGGATCAAACTCAGGACATCAGGCTTAGCCGCAAGCATTTTACCTCATGAGCCACCTTGACTGTCTTCTTAGTCCTTTCTTTTTGAGAGATAGGGGATCTCTCAGTCCTTAAGCAGATTGTCTAGAACTCATGGTAATCCTCATGTCTCAGCCTCCTGAGTGCTGGGATTTATAGTCAAGAGCCATCACTGCCTAACTCTAAATCAATTATTTCATAGTTCTGGTTTATGTGGTGCTAAAGATCAAACCCAGGACCTTGAGAATGCTAGACAGGCACTCTACCACAAGCAACATCCTCAGCCACTCCCTCTTTTAAAATCTAGAGGTTTTTTTTTTTTTTTCATTTTTCTGCCCGTTCTTTATAGGCTTAGAAATTACATACGCTCCTTTTTATTTTAGAACGTCTCTCAGTTTAAACTTTTTAAAATCACAACAAAGATCAAGTAAAGTGTGTGTGTGTGTGTGTGTGTGTGTGTGTGTGTGTGTGTGTGTGTGTGCTGGTACTGGGGATTGAGCCTAGCATAACATACAGGCTAAGCAAGTGCTCTGATACTAAGCTACAATCCCAGGCCCCTTTTTACATTTTATTCTGAGACAGAGTCTCATTAAATTATCCAGGCAGACCTTGAACTTGTGATCTTTCTACCTCAGTTTCTAGAGTAGCTGGGATTACAAGCTTGCACCACCAGGCCTGGCTAAAATGTACAGATATTTAAGGTCCAACCTGAGGTGTCCTCATATATGAGCAAACCATATATCATCCTCAGATCATGGTCTAGAACATTCTAGGGCAGGCTCCCTCCTGCCCTCTCAGGCAGTACCTCCCTGTTCTATCTAGCCATGAGTCTCACCTTTGTTGGTAAAATGAATTTTACAGCTTTAATGAGATTATCATTCACAGACCATAAAGTCCACACATTTCAGGTGTGCAGTTTAATGACTAATAGTCACAAAGTTGTGAACCAGGGTATTTTTATCACATGTCCTCCCCATCCTCCTAGCACTCAGTACTCCTTTCTCCCAGTTCACCGCTGTACCGCTTCACTCTACCTCCAGGGCTATCTGTGAAAATGTCTCTTTTGGACTTTTCCTATAAAGGGCAACAAATATGTGTGTGTAGGTCTAGTTTTTATTTAACATGACATTCCCAAAGCCGGCGCTTTATGGCGTCTTTTACCACTTCACTCCAAACAATATTCCATGGCATGGTTATTCTATATTTTGTCTGTCCACCAGCTAGTTGACATTAACTAGGGTGTTCTTAGTTTGGGGCTGTTGTGAAGTCTGCTCTGTGCTTGCATACAGTTGCCTGGCTTTGAGTTCATTCCATCTATGTAGAACCATCCAGCACCTACCTGTTTTGACTGACTTCTTTCATTTCAATGTTAGGCTGCACATTTCAGTTGCATGTGGCATTGGTGTATGATTTTTTTCCCCTCCTTTCATTTCTCCAGTGATGGGGATGGAACCTAGCCCTTGTACAAATTAGGCAAGCCTCTATCACTGAGCTTCATCCCCAGCCCCTGGCATGGGATTTCTCATGGCTGTATTATATACTACATCATGTGAATGAGACACAATTTGTATATATATTCAGTTTATGGACATTTAAATGGTTCCCAGTTTTTGTCTACCGTGCATAAAGTTTCTCTAACATTTAGTTTCAACCTGTACTTGCCTAAGTCTAAAACTGATCTTTACTTCTCAATCTGATCAGAAATGTTCCTCTTTGAGTCCTGTGTGATAGTACTATTATCAATTTGAATCTAGAATGATCTAGGAGAGAAACCCCTGGGCATGCCAGTGAGGAACTTTCTACATTGGTTAATTGGGTTAGGAAGACACATCCTGAACTGGGCAGCACCATCCCATGGATTGTAGTCCTGGAGTGCATAAAAGAGAGGGAGCAGAGCACTGACATGGATCTCTTCCTGCCTCCCAACTGTGGGTACAATGTGACCAGCTGTGTGCTCCTGCCACATGGCTTCCCCACCATGATGGACTGGATCCTCTAAGAAAAAGTCAAAGCAACAGGTCCTTAAGTAGCCTTTGTTGAGCATTATGCCAAGCAACGACAAAGTAACTAATGTACTATGCCAAAGGACCCAGCTAAGCTTGAACCAGAGGTCAGCCCTAGAGGACTGCCTTTCCCAGTCCCTCTTAACAGGTGTCAGCACTCCTCAGATCAAACCCTACCTTCTCTAGCTGTGTACTCGTTGTCCTCGATGACCCGAGCTAGGCCAAAGTCAGCAATCTTACATACCAGCGATGCAGAGACCAAGATGTTGGCAGCCCTGAGGTCTCGGTGAATGTAGTTCCTCTGCTCGATGAAAGCCATGCCTTCTGCAATCTATACCCAGAAGCGACATTGTCATTCTCATGATTGCAACTTATAGTCTACCTCAAAGGTCCTCACTCCAATGCAGATGAGGGAGAAAACTGGGAAACATCTGCACCAGCTCCCCATTTTTGTCAGAAGGGTCCTGGGTTCAGTCTTCTCTGCCCACCAATACAGGCCAGGGGCATTTTAAAAGTCTAGCTTGGCTTGGGGGGCTTCTCTAGAGTGTCAAAACTTCTAGCAAGACTTTTGGAAAAACAATGTGACTTTTTGTCCAGGGCATGCATAAACTGGGGCACCATGAAGAGCTTTCACCTGCTCCCCCTTCTCATACAAGCCTGGGCAGGGAAAAGTCACTTGTTCCTCCAGTAAAAGTCCTCAGACTATCTTATGGTGCCTGTCCTGTCTCTTGAACAATGGTTAGCCAGGCATGGCCCCTCCAGGGTGATGAGCACCATAGAGAAAAGGCAGGGCAGGGGGCAGGATAGAAGAAGTGCAGAGGGTTTTCTGGACTGGGTGCTCAGGGAAGATACTTGGGGAGGTGACACTTCAGCTGAGAATGGAATGACCACAATAATGTGTGTTGAATAAGAACACTCAGAGCCTGGAGAGATGGCTCAGCAATTAAGAGCACCAGCTGCTCTTGCAGAAGACAGGGGTTTGAATCCCAGCACCCACATGGTGGCTAACAAACATCTGTAACTCCAGTTCCAGGGGATCCAACACCCTTTTCTGACTTCCTTGGGCATTGCATGATACGAGTGCACTTACATCCATGCAGGCAATACACTCAATACACATAAAATAAAATAATATATAATTTTTTTAAAAAAAGATCATTCCAGGCAGGGAGAGCACCAGGTGCACAGCTGGAGGCCAGCAGAAGATAGGACAGCTGAATTTGAGAGAGATAAGGAACCTCCACCGCCAGGAAAGGGGACTGGGTTTTTTTCTGAGCATGAGGAGTGGTAACAGGCTTTAAGCAGTCCAGTTCTGTAATCTGATGCATATTTGAAGATCACTGTGGCTTCCAATTAAATAACAGACAGTGAGAAAGGATTCTTATTCACAGTGGGTACCCTGGAAGCTTCTGGTAGAAACACACAATTGTGACTTAGAGTTGTTTTTACTTAAAAGGGTTAGGACTAAAGGGATGGAAGATGAGACTCGGATTCCCAGAAAACAGCCCTTATCGTTTATAAACCTGCCTTGGAGCCCTGTGAAGGGCTCCTGATATATTTTACAGGGATACGCATCCTGGCTCACAAGCCTGAGTCCGGATATCAGCTTCAAATCAGGCTCCCTCCAGTAGCCCAGAGCTGCAGAGTCCAGGAGGGTCGCAGCAGGGTGTGTGGTCAGAGGAAATTATCTGGGGAACCTGGGCCAGCCAGCAAGCTCACAGCCTGGTGAGTGGTGGAGCACTTGCAGAAAGTAGACAGCAGGGGACGCCAGAGGCGGCGGAAACGGAGGCCCAGCTTTTCGGAACAAAAATTCAAGACTGACTTTTGTCTGGGATAGGAGTGGAGTGAGACAGGGTCTTGCCCTGGGGGAGTATGGGAAATTTATAAGGCATCCTTAGAAGAACAGTTTGGAAAAGTTATTTGGAAGACACTGCAGCTTACTTCTTGTAAACACTTTTTTTTTTTTTTTAACTTTAGGCTTTGAGAGATAGGTTTGCTATCTCTTTCTACAGCTGAGAAAATGAAAGGCCAGGGAAGGAGATGATTGGTGCATAAACAGCCTGCAAATTCCCAGGCCAGTGTTGTGATCTACAGTCATGCTTTTGCGGACTCTCACCTGGCAGACCAACCTCTGTGTCTAGTGCTTTGCCATTGACTGACACTCAAGTACGCCTGTTCTTACATGAGCTCAATGGGGCTAACCCCACCTGGAAGGCACTGGAGTATTGTGGCTAAATGGGTCAGGAGTTGGACCCGCTCAGCTTGATCCCCAAGCTCTGTTACTTTACTCCTGTGTCCAGCTGTTCTCTGTGAAGAGGGACAAACAACAGCACTGTCTGCCAGGGCTCATGTGAGGATAGATCTTCTAAGCTTCTCACTATCGTGGGGGACAGTGACACACAGCGTTCACTATAGATGTGGCTTTTAATGCTGCCAGAGTGGCCAAGTGCCTTTCTCAGAGCTACACCAGAAAGTTGGGACCAACACAAACACCCTATACCAGACTCCTAAACCTGTATGCTTGCAGAGTGTTGCTTCTTAAGTGTTTGTCAGCCAAGTATGTAACAGACAAGGGAACTGGGTTCAAGTGTGTCTATGGATTGGTGGTAGTGAGCCACCAAGCAGATCCTCATCAGGCACTAGAGCTTGGATCTGCTTCGAGGAGCATCAGGGAACCCCAGAATTCCAGCTGGAAGGATTGGTAAGCATATTCCAGCACAGGGCTCTTTGTGTGTGTGTGTGTGTGTGTATGTGTGTGTGTGTGTGTGTGTGTGTGTGTGTGGTGCTGGGGATTGAACTCAGGGCCTTGTGCAAGCACTCTACCTGAGCTACCTCCCCAGCCCCAAAGGATGACACCTTTCTAAATGTTCACAGTGTGCCAGGCACCATTTTAACCCCTTTATATACAGAATTCCATGAAATATTCACAATCACTCTGTTCTTCCCTCCCAAACTGAGGGACAGCATGGATAAGCAAAGTGTCTGGATGCTGCAAGGCGTGCGAGCAAGGGCCTTGTGTATGCTAGGCAAGCACTCCTCCACTGGGCTCTATCTCCAGCCCCAGTCCAAGGCTTGCCCCTGGGTTGCCTGGGGGGTGGACACACAAAAGGTCACAGATGAGGCTCCTTTCTGCCAGCTTCAATAGGATTAGTTCTCCTATGACCTGTATTTTAATATCTATTATGTAAAATTTTATTTGATCAATGGAATTGGAGCTAAAAATAGTTATCAAACTTGAAAATTACATTTGGGATCCAATTTACCCATTGGACAAATGGGAGCTAGACCCAGAGTAGGCCTGAGATCACCAGCCACTTGGTGACAAGATGACACTGCACCAGCCTGCCTTTCTAGAGACCAGGTCCCCAGTAGCCTTCTACTTGCCCTGGGCTCACAACTAACCTCTGCTTGGGTGTACCAAGACCAGAAGAACTTCTCTCCCTCCTTGGTTTGTTTTCCACTCTGAAATGGGGAGAGTGTGGCTCTGTTTTGTTTTGTTTTGTTTTGTTTTGTTTTGTTTTTTAAAGGCAGAGTTTCCTATGTCCCAGGCTGGCTTAGAACTCACTGTATAGCTGAGAATTACTTTAGCCTTCTGATCCTCTTACTTCCACCTCCCACCCCCCACCAGGTATTCAGATTACAGCCATGTACCACTATGCTTCATTTATGCAGTCCTGGGATCAAACTCAGGGCTTTTGGTTTGCTGGGCAAGCACTCTACCAACTAAGCTACACCCTGAGCCCAAGAGTAGCTCTTGATGCATCCTATGACCCTGCTCAGCAAGGTTCCTGTTCTTTTGATGGTTATACTTCAGTAACAAGCCAGACTATTGTTTCCCAAAGGACTGGGGACCTCTAGGGTGGAAGTGCCAGGCCTTGATTTCCATATGCCTCTGATTATTCAGGTCTTGTTAGACCTTGTCAGTGACCTTGGCCCCTGGGATTTGCATACTCAAATGAGCTCAGCTGTAGGCCTCTCCACTAGGCTCAGCCCTAGGCCCAGCTGCAGACTCCCTCAACTCCCACTGGGCTGCACCTCCCCCTCCCTCCAGCTTCATCTGTGCCACCCTCAAGGCTCTGGCTGACCAGGCTCAGCCCCTTCATTTCCCTCTTGGGCATTTGCAAGGTGTTTCTTTTTTCTAGAACCACTTTCCCTCTCTTCATCTGCAGAACTTCTCACCCTTCAAGGCTTTTCCTAGAGACCACTTCCTCTGTAAAGCCTCTGATCAAGCCTGAATGGGCTGTGCACTCCCATGCATGTTTGTCCTCCCTGTTTTCCCACAGACAGGGGAGAGCATTAAACAGGGTTGAGGGAAAACAACACTTGGGCTGTGGGCGACGGGGAGAGGAGCAAGACTATTTCTTTTTGGACAGTGTTGGGGAAGAAACTCAGGGTGTCATGCATGCTAAGCAAGCTCTGTACCACTAAGCTATACCCTAGGTCCCAAATGTTTGGTTTTTAAAAATTCGTTGTTTTATTTTTTCAAATGGAGTTTTAAGATGTATTTCCATGGTTTACAATTCCTGTTTTCTTTTCTGGATACTTGCTCTTCTGACTCTTGGCTAGGGCCATGGGTGGTGTGTCTCTAAGAAACCCCATTGTTTAATACTCATGCAGGTGACCTCTATGAGGACAGCAATGTTTGCCATTTTCTTCCTTGCTGTACCCCCCCCACAATTAGCCCAGCACTTTAGGCCTCTCTTGGGTTTCAGAACCTCTCTTGGGCTTCAGTTTCCTAATCTGTATGTATCTTTTTTATTTTTATTTTTTGAGACAGTATTTACAGTTCAAGTCTAACCTAGAACTCTGATCCCCCTGCCTCTCCCCTGTTAGGACTATAGGCATTCACCACCATGGCCAACTTGTACTTCTTCACACAACTTCCTTGTCTGGAAAATGGGATGACAGTTACCTTTCTGTGACCAGACTGTTCTATTTGGAGTTCCAGGGAGCTATGCCTGCCAGCACTCCTGTCTTCCCTTCCTACATGGACTCAAGTCTTGGCTCCTGTGACTGGCTTTGGCCAATAGGACATTAGCAGGTATGATGCAAGCAGAGACTTAACAAGCCAAGCACTTGCACCTTGGGTTGGTCCCTCTTAGAACCCTGGTGCTGAACTGTAAAGAAGGTCAGTTAAAAACACTGAGGGAGAAGAGGCCACACCGGGAGAGACTGTAAGGATGAGACCTTGTCTCTGATGTTCTACCCTTGTCACTTCCACCCAGCCCACCACAGTAAACACACAGAACCATGGGAAATAGTAATTGTTGTCATTTCAGGCTACTAAACTTTGAGATGATTTGTTACATCAGAATGGATACCATGAGCTGGGATGGAGCTCAAGGGCAGAGGGCTTGTTTAGCATGCACAAGGCCCCGGCTTCTATACCTAACACCAAAACACAAAAAATGAACAAACATTATTCCATAAGGTTGATATGAGCATTGCATAAGTTGGTTCATGTAAAGAATAGTCCCTATCTACAGATTCTGCATCCACAGATTCAACCAACTACAGATCGAAAATATTTAAAAACAATTGCTTTCTACACTGAACTTCTACAGACTTTCTTGTTATTCACTAGGCAATACAGTATAACAATTATTTATATAGCATTTTGTTGGATTATTTAAATCATTTGGAGACAATTTAAATAGTATACAAGAGAATATGTGTAGGTTATTTGCAAACACACCATTTTCTACAAGGGACTTAAGCATCCACAGATTTTGGTAACCACCGGGTCCTGGACAATCCCTGTGCATGTGGAAGGATAAGTATACATACAGAAAGTGCACTTTCTCACCCAGGCTTCATCAGCATCACCTTCTGTTACCCTTGTTAGCCCCGTGTGTGGTCAGTGACTATTTGTGGAGCTAATAAATGAGCTCCGTTCCTGCCTCCCAGTCAGCTCTCACCTGGGCTGAGAAGTCAATGAGCTTTGGTAAGGGCTGCTTGCTGCCTTCTTCACTTTTCAAAAAGTCCAGCAGGCTTCCTGGGGAGGGGGAGAGCAGGGGGAGAAGCATTGACTATGTTTAGCCCTTCAGTGAAAAATGGTTGACATAGTTCATAGCAATGGAGTTATTTTATTTTTTTTGCAGAACTAGGGATTGAATTTAGGGTCTCTCACATGCTAGGGCAAGTGCTCTACCACTGAGCTACATCTCCAGCAGACTTTCGCTTCTTGAGATGGCATCTTGCTATGCTGCTCAGGCTAGTCTCCAATTCCTTTTCCTGGGCTCCAGCAATCTTCCTGCCTCAGCTACACAAGTACATGGGACTTCATTCAACACTGGCCAGGCACAGCACTGGATTTAAAGAAACCTATTTGTTTACCATTCCTAGTGTTAGAGCACTAGAATCTGGATATTTCTCAAAGGACGTTTTGGTTGTTAGCGAGACTTTGACTGATACAGCCTTGGGTGCCCAGGACTATGACTGTAAGGTCAGCTAACCATAGATTTAGAAAATGGAAAGGGTTTTGAGATTTCAAATTACAATGGTTGACACTGTATGATATGCTTCTGTTTATCTAAAAATGGGAAGGAACTGAAAATGACAGTGAAACAGCTGTCTTAAAACAAAGCCAGGCGTAGAGATGCACGCCTGTAATCCAGTACTTGAGAGGTTGAGGTGGGAGGATTGCTGTAAGATTTGAGGCTATCCTGGGCTATGTAGTAAGTTCCAGGCTACCTGGCTACAGAGTGAGACTCTGTCTCAAACATCCCTGAGCTATGCTGAAGGTCACAGGGTTGGGTGGCCCAAACTTCGTAGCCTGAAATCGCAACCAGGGATATTTTCCAAGATTCCGAGAGCTGACTGCAGCAGACTGGGTGAACCACACTGTGACGTGCGGGTAAGGTTCCGAGACCATCATCTCATCCTTCTGATCTCTTTATGTGGCCTCTCATTCCTCAGTAGTTTAAGCAGAGCTTCTTTGCAGCCCAGCACCAAGGTTCCAAGAGGGATTGTTCCAAGGTGCAGGCCATGATGAAGCCATGTACCTCTTCTTCCCCAGGACAGTCCCTCCCACAGCCTCTGCTATCCCCCTCCCTTGGTGACCCCTTCATGTGATTCTACTTTATGAGTCAGGAGGCTAGAATGTTTGGACTTGTTGGAAGTGCCAAAAGAGCCATATCAAGGTCACCTTTGAGTTTGAAATGGGCCAGTGTGCTGGATAGCTTTAGTGTCAACTTGACACACCTGGGTTGAGGGAGCCTCAGTTGGAGAATTGCCTCTATTGGACTGGCCTGTGGCCATGTCTGAGGGGCATCTTCTTGATGAGCGATGTGGGAGGGCCCAGCCCACTGTGGGTGGTACCACCCCTGGGCAGGTGGGTCTGTGTTGCATAAGAAAGCAGGCTGAGCAGGGGCCAGGGGAGTAAGCCAGTAAGCAGCGTTCCTCCATGGCCTGTGCTCCAGCTCCTTCCTCCAGGTTCCTGCCCTGAGTTCCTACCTTGGTCTCCCTGATGAACTGCAACCTGGGAGATGTAAGACAAATAAACCCTTTCCTCCCAAAGTTGGTGTTCATCAGAGTATTTTGTCACAGCAATGAAGAACAAACTAGAACAGCCAGCTTGGGCCACAGCCTGTACCGCAGGCCACGCACCTTTGGCCATGAACTCAGTTACGATGAAGATGGGCTCCTGTGTGACCACGGCATGCAGCTTCACCAGTTTGTCGTGCTGCAGTGTCTTCATCAGGTTGGCCTCTGCCAGGAAGGCCTCCACCGACATGCTCCCTGGCTTCATCATCTTCACTGCCACCTTGGTGTGCTTGTTGTAGGTGGCTGGAGAAGGAGGGGAGCAAGGCAAGTGGTTAGGATCCACCTTCTCTGGAGGCCAGCTGCAGACCTGCCTCCCCCAGCAAGGCCTCCCTGACTATCTCAGACCTTTGGCTCAGAGGGAGGGTACCACTTTGGCCTCAGGGAGTTATGGGATGGAGACTCATTCCCTACTTCTTAACTGTACAACTGAGCAAATCACTTACGTTCTCTGAGCGGTGGTTTTCTTGTCTGCGGAGTGGAAATGATAAAGACTCCCCTGAAGGGCTATTTGCAAGATTAAAAACTAATCTTCCAGCTAGGCATGGGGTACACACCTGGAATCCTAGCACTTCAGAGGTTGAGGGAAGAGGACTGGGAGTTCCAGTCCAGCTTGGCCTATGTAACAAGACCATGTCTCAAAAAAACAAGGACTCGGGATGGAGCTTAGTGGTATAAAAACTTGTCTAGCATGTAAAAGACCCTGGGTCAGCACTGCAAAAAATTATGATAATAATCCTTAAACCACTGATTAGATTATGACATGTGCGTGCACATTCTTTAAACTTTGACACTGCTCTTGAAATGAATCAGATTCATAGGTCCTGCTTGAACTGGCCACGCCCACCTTCCCATCCTTGTCATTCATAAAAGTTTTTTGTTTTTCTTTCACAGCCAGCTAGAGATTGGGCCTAGGGCCTTGCACATACTGAAAGTGCTCTATCAGTGAGCTATATTTCCATCCCTCCTTTTACTTTTTATTTTGAAACAAGATCTCACTAAGTTGTCCAGAGTGGCCTTGAACTTCAATGCTCTTGTCTTAGCCTAGTAACTGGAATTACCGCTAGGCCTGGCTCACCAAATTCATTGTTGCTTTCTTAAATTTATTGTTATTGTTGTTGTTGTTGTTGTCTACGTGTGTGTGTGTGTGTGTGTGTAGATCAGAGGACAACTTTTGAAAGTTTGTTCTCCTTTCCCTGAGGGTTCTGGGGATTGAACTCAGGTTATCAAGCTTTTAAAACAAGCACTTTTATCTGCTAGGTCATCTTTCCAGTCTTACTCTCAGTTTTTATGCACTAACCACTCTGCCTGTCACTTGTCTCCTCAGTCTTCAACTGCAGAGACTTAGCACACAATGTTCTCTTGCCTGTTGACCCTTCCCACCCTGCTTCATTTTGTGGCTCTGTTCAATCCCATAATTGCTTTTCTTTCCATTTGTGCCTTGACTGCCAGGAAGCTCTAACCCAGATTTATGGTCTTCCTGTGGTGAGAGTGTAGGGCATCATATGACATTTTATTTGCCCCCACTTCACCACTCAGATCTGTCTAACCTTCCTTCTGTTCTCATTCTTTTATTCATCCTGGCACATAGCAGGCTCTCAGTAAATATGGTTGAAACACGTGCTTTCTAAGTTTGCTTTATTTCGCTGAATGTCTGCATTTTTGCAAGCTGTCTCCCTACCATCTGGCACACAAGAGAGTGTTAATACAGTGGGGTGCACCACACATGGAGCTAGGCATTGTGACCACCTACCCCCCTGTGTAACAGACATTGCTGTTCTCAAGGTACAGGGGCAAGGACCACGGGGGTGTGACAGGCCTTTCTGGTGTCCCACCACGTCTGGCATGTTGCTGGGCATGTGGCTCATCTTTTGAACAGCTTGGTCCTCAGTTGCTAGCATTGGATTCACCTGGAAATCCAAGCTGTTTCCCTCAGCATAAATTTTCATCATACCAAGAGGCCCTGGGTATGTCAGCCCCAAGTGGCATGGCAGTCTGTCCCAGATCCACATCTGGGAGGCCCTTCCTAGTCTAGGACTCTGGTCTCCTAGAGGCAGTCCTTCAACCCCCAGCCTGGCCACAAAGGCAAAACAGTGTTTGCCCAATGGACAATTTGTTTTGCTATCTCAAGAGTGGCCCACTGTGGTTATTATTCAAATCCTCCTCTGCTGGGCAGTATCCAGGGGGCCTCAGGGCTCTTTTGGACCCCTTCCTCCCCTTCCAGCACCAGTTTCTGTGCTTTGACCCTATCTCCTTACCCATCCACACTTCTCCAAACTGCCCAGCTCCAAGTTTCTTCTCCATCTGGAGGGATTCTCGAGGGATTTCCCAGGCATCTTTCTCCCATGGCTTCTGGGGCTTGGGAGACACACACGGCACAGACAGCTTCTGGCAGAGCCCGTCCTTCCCCTCTGAAACAGAATGCCTAGTCAGCAGAAGGTACTGAACTCTGAGCCAGCCAGAGCTACCCTTTGGAGACCTCTTGTCTTGCCCTCTCCATGTGGTTGATGTTTCACCTGCCTGTCACCACAAGGGACATTCTCAAGAGAGCAGAACATGATGGGATGCCACCGCCACCCTCTTGGCTCAACAATTATAAGCCTCGGGAGTTCACAGAGTGACTGTTCACTTGGGGATGTTGGGAAGATAGCGGGCCTCAGGGCTGTCATGAACCTGGGATTGCCCCTCTTGGTGAGGAGTAGTGCTGTGGTACAGTTGCTTGTGGTACTAGTATAGTATGTGCTAGACCCTGGTTCCATCCCCAGAACTAAGCAGCTATCAAAAAGCAAAGCCAAGGAACTGAGAAATCCAAGCTGTGGTTAACATTCCATCCTAGGCTGTACTGTGTAGTGGTGACCAACCCGGGCTCTGCTGTAAGATGCGAGGCACAGCCTCAGGCAGGACTCACTCTTGTAGTGGGCCACCAGCTCCTGCAGGTTGCTGAAGGTGATCCTCGGGGAGATATAGAAGCCTCCACTGTCCAGTGTCCGGATCTTGTAATGCTTCACCGTGTCCCCTTGTTGGGGGTCATAGTCTCGCACGGACAAAGAGTAGCTCCCTGTGTTGGCCCAAGAGAAACTCCTCAGAACAGCACCTCAGAGGTCCAGCTGCCTGGTGCCAGTACCTTGACATCTTTATGATACTCCTCTGAAGGCCCTGTACCACCTGGTACCACCCAGGTACCTGGGTTAAAGCTCATGTCATCAAGAGTGGGCTGAGGCATCCAGTTGCCTGGGTTCCCATCCTCGATCTGCCAGTCACAGCTGTGAGCCCTTGGGGAAATGACTACACCTCTCTGTGTCTCAATAGTAGCAGTCACACCACCCACCTCATCACACTGCCCGGGGAATGTAATGCTTGTAAAAAAAAAAACTCTGGACACTCAGCAAGCTGGTTGTAGCCATCATCTCCATTATTTCTGATCTATCTATCTATCTATCTATCTATCTATCAATCATCTATCTTATCTTTCTATCTATCCATCCATCCATCTGTCATCTGTCTATCCACCTATCACCTATCCATCTGTGTATTCATTTATCATCTATGATCTATACATCTATCCATCCATCTATACATCATCTATCTACCTATCACCTATTCATCTGGGTATCTGTTTATCAGCTATCTACCTACCTACCTATCTACTACCTACATACCGTTCATCTATTGCCTATTAAGTTTATCTATCCATCTATCATCTAGTGAAGGAGAAACAAAGATGCCAAACTAATTTTTTTTTAAAGACTGAGTAGAGTATGGTGGCGTACACCTTTAATACCAGTGCTTGGGAGACAGAGGCAGGTGTATCTCTATGAGTTCAAGGCCAGCCTGATCTATATAGTTCCAGGCCATCTGGGGATACAGGGAGACCCTGTCTCAAAAATAAATAAATAAAAAATAAAAAAGACTAACAAACAGGCACATAAACAAACAGAATGGAAAGAACAAAGAAAATCCAGTCCAATTTCTGCAACATACTGATCAGCTGAATAATGGTCCATAATGTTCATACATGATTCTCTGTCACCTAGAAATGTGACCTTACATGACATAGGGAATTAACTGTAAGTTAAGGGACTGAACCAGGGAGAGCACCCTAGATTATCCAGAGGGTCTCACTGAAATCACAGGGGTCTTTATCATAGGGGACCAGTCAGTGAGAAACACAAAGATGGAAACAAGGGGTTGAAGAAGTATCAGGAAGGGCCATGAGCCAAGCAACACTGATGATCCCTTGAAGTTGAAAAGGGCAAGAAAGAAACCAAGCTCCATAAGCCTTAAGAAGGAGCCAATCCTGCAGAACCTTGACTGGAGCCCAGTGAGCTCAGATCCCTGTTCTTCAGAACTGTGAGGTAATACAGACATGTTCTAAGCCACCAAATTTACAGTAACCTACTTTGCAGATTGTCACATAGACCAGAGAACATAAGTCTTCTATTCCATGACCACACTATGAGCTGTGTGGCCTTGACTGTGTAGCTTCTGTGTCTTTCATTTTTCTCTTTTATAATAGCACAATGTCATAGGATTTGGGGTAAATTTAAATTGCTGAATGAATAACAGCTGACTCTACATGCCAAGCACTGTTCTAAGCATGTTGGCCAAACAAACATGAATGAACAAGAACAGTACTTATTTTAACAAATTAAAATTATATGAATTATATTATTCATCATAATGAATAGCCTCATGACGGTAGGCTTTATGGTATTATCAGACTCACTTTATAGATGAGGAAACTGAGGCCCAGAGAGATGAGCTAACTCACCTGGAGTCACACAGCTGGTAACTGGCACATCTGTGTTTCAAACCCAGCCAGCTACCTCCAGGGTCCCCTCTTAGCCACCCTGTCCCAGTCAAAGCTGGCTTGGCTGGTGCTACACAGAGTGGGCAGAATCTGGGAAGGAGCAGGATGCTCAGTTCGTACTGTAAGTTTTACTAAGTCAGTCAAATTCCCAGTATGCCCCCACCTCAGAGGCCCATGGACCTGGACCTGACTTACTCTCCTGCCCACAAGCCTGACACAGTGTCTTTGGTTTCTTTGTCTCTGACTGCAAGAAGGACAGCCCAGTTTCCAAGCTGCTCTGGGCACAGCTGGAGAGAAGTACTGGGTCTCATTGCAACCTAAATGTTCACTGACCTGCAACACAGATAGGGAGTGACTAGTCCCAACCATGTTTAGGACTCCACAGCTACACAGATGCCTCAATGTCTCCAAAACTACTTGCTTCAGAGTACCATGAGGTCATACTTTATACAACTGATCTGTTCAAATCAAGTGGTTCTGAGTACAGACACCAGCCAAAGCTACAGTGTGTGGAATCCAAAGTCACATAGAGCATGCGGCACTCCTGCCCTGGGGACAGTCACCTGGGTGGTGCCAGTCAGACTCATACCATGTGGTTTTTGGTACTGACTTACCTCTGGTCACCTACTCCTCAAGACATTACCCTCCCAGCCTGGACATTTCAGGTTACAACTTCTGACATTTGCCCATCCATGGCATCTATCCATCCACATGCCCTCAGGGAGCATTTTAAGGGCATCTCAGAAGAGGCTGGCTTGGGTTGGGCTGTACTCACCCCAACCCTGTTTCCTGACTAGAGAGGATGGAGGCTTGTGGACAGGAACATACCTAGGGCAGCTATTTAAAAAATTAATCCATCAGCGGTGAAGATCAAGTTTCAGCAGGATATATGTTTGCTTTCAGACTTTAAACCACTTCCATTGACCTCTCAGCCTATACCTACCTGAGCTGAAGAGGGTCAGCCTTCACAGACCCTCAACCTTCCCTGGCTCAGAGTGGTAAAGGACAGGAGAAAACCTGGCAGCATGCCCACTTGATTGAGCTCAAGCTCCCCAAGAGAATTTTCCTAGGGATGTGTGTGGGAGGGGTGGCACCATGCCTGGGCACAGGAAGGCAGGGAGAATGGCTTCACCTTTGGTGGTCTCACTGTCCCGGATCATGAAGGAGCCCAGCACATTGCCCGGTGCCAGGAGGTGGCGCTCTGCATCCTTCCGGCTGATGCCCTTGAAGAACCACCTGCCAGGAAGAAATGAGGACAGGGTGAGCCTGGGGGTACAAGGTCCTGTACTCACAGGAAGCCCCAGGCCAAGCCATGCAGAGCCCACTTGGGAGTCAGGATCTCAGCACCTGGCTTCCTGTAGCATCATTTATCTCACACCAAGTGTTTTGGTTTTGGCAGGAGAGGGGTAGGGGGTGGAAGGGTGGGGTTGAGGAGAGAAAAACAGTCATTCTTTCGATGTCTCTTACCAGAGACAATTCCAGTCTGCAGAGACTGAAATCTCTGTAACCTGGGAGAGGAATGTCAAGAAAAAGAATACAGCATTACAAATACAAAAATGGTCATGCTTGTTCCAGGGCCCCTCTGTGAGGGACAGGGAAATGGATGGGGGACTGAGAGCAGAGACGCTGTTTTTAGCCAATGGTGCCAAGTGTCTTAATTCTGCAAATGTCATCAGCGTACATGACCCCCAGGAGGCTCCCTTGCAGGCACTGGGGTGGTGGTGGTGGTGAGGGCTCCAGCTTCCAATGGTCTATTCTGCCTGTTTGCGCAGAGAAAGATGGAAGCCAGCATGGATTCCCCGGCTGAAATGTGAGGCCGAAAAGCATTTACACTTGAGACTGTATCCTGGGAACTTCTTTTCATGTTTCCTTGCTATTCGGGATATGAGGTAAAAAGGTTCATGCAGTAGCAGCAGAAGCCCTCTTCCCTTCCCTCATTAGGATGAGAAACACCAGGTACCACGATGGGAAAAGAACCCAATCATGTCAGCAGGTCTTGACCCTGGGGCAACCTGCTGTGTGACTTTGCCTCTTTGGGCCTCTGTTTCCTCTGTTATCAACAAGGGAGAAACTTTATCATTTATTTATGTATATATGTGTATGTGTACTTGCTTGCAGGTGCCTGTGGAGGCCAAAGGGGCAGTGGATCCCCTGGACTTGAGTTACAGGCAGTTGTGAGTCACCTGACCATGGGTGCTCTGGAAGAACAGCAATTACTCTTAACCACTGAACCATATCTGCAGCCCCCATACATCAAATCCTGTTTTTTTCTTTGAGACAGGGCCTCTATAATCCCAGCTGGCCTGGAACTCACTATGTAGACCAGCCTGACCTCAGTCTCACAGAGATCCTCCTGCCTCTGCCTCCCAAATGCTGGGATCAAAGGCATGCGCCACCACGGGCTACTCCTCAAGTTCTTTTTGTACCTTACTCTATTCAGTTGTCACCTTTATCATTCTGATTTCATAGGTGTGTAAACTAGGGAGCCAAGAAGACAAATAACTTGTCTGGGGCCACATAGCTTGGGGTGGTAGAGGCAGGATTCAAACTTAGGCAGTCTAACTCTTGAGCCCAGGCATGAACTCTCATCCTTGTGAGGGAAGCAGGCAATACATGTGTGAACAACCCAAGGAAAAAGATCCCTTTTTAATAGTGAAATGTGTTTAGAAGGGAAGAAAACAGGCTCTCTGACAAAGTCACAGAAGGGACTGACTCATCTTGACAAAATGTCAGAAGAGGCCTCTGAGACCTCAAAGGTAGAAAGCCACCAGCCAGACCAAGGGCCTCAGGAAGAGCATACCAGGCAGTAGAGACTTCATATACAAAGGTGCAGACGAGAAGCAGGTCAGCTTTGATCAAGCTTCCTTCTAGAAGGCAGGAATAGAATACTTACTCCTCTGTTTCCAGAGAGTTAACACGAGCCACATAGTTGCTTGGCATATAGCCCTCTCTCCGGGTGGCCAGGGACCGTGCCCTCCACCACTCTCCAGACCTGAGGGACACAGAGGGAGAAAAGGGTCAGGAGGCACAGAAACCTTCTCTAATCCCTCTGGCCTTCACCCTAGTGTAGAAAAGCCCATCCCCCACTCCCAGGAAGCCATGAGGGTCTGGCACAGGACTCTTAGCATGTGCCCCAGGACTAGGGTAGGGGTGCTGAGAGTCCACTCGGGTCTGGAGTGAAGTCTGTCCTTCAGTCACAGCCCACAGCCTGTGTCTTTGACCTCATCCTCTTCCCTGGACTTTCAGCCTTGGCTGACTGTCACAACCCAAGGTAGGACCTGTGTCCAGGGGTAGTCACAATGGATCAACTGGGGCCTAGAGGAGGAGGCCATGGGCTCAAGAGTCTAACCAAGCATGACCAGGCCCCATTCCTCAGCCCCAGTACAACTTGGACTATTGTAGCAGGCCCTGATATAAAAGCTGTGATCATCACAGGTAATGATCTCAGAGACCCAGGGATTTCTGATTGCAAAGCTATCTGGACAGGCCAGCCCTGCAGGGTGGCCTGGCACTCAGCCACAGGAGCCCTAGGAAAGCTTTGCACTAGAGCCCTGTTCCCTGTGTATGCTTGCCTGGAAGGGGGAAGCATTAGTAAGCACACAGTCCCCCTTACTGCTGCTGTCACCCAGAAGGCAACAAATCCTTCCTTCTCTACTATGGTCAGGTTCTCATTTACTGCCAGAGTAGGGTAGGCTCTTGGGTTCTTGTAATGATGCACAGCAGGGAGTATAACTAAACTCTGTAGATAGGTGTGTCTTAGGGGGTCAGGAATGGAACTCACTCTTCGAGGACCAGCAACTGGTCCCCCTTCTTGAAACTGAGGTCTTCATGGTGAATGGCCTCATAGTCATACAGGGCAACCACAACGATGTCCTCAGAGCCTGCAGGGAAGGGAGATGACGGGATGGGTCCCCCTGCCAGCCCCCAGGACCCCACTCTGGACCTACTGCTAGACAGATAAGAGAACATTCTCCCTTGCCAGAGTCTAAACCCCAAAGTCCTTTGTCCATGTCCCTGAACAATTTTCTAGAAACACAAGAGCCTGGGCAAAGAACGTGGGGCAGTTCAAAAAAATTTCAAGGATGGTTTTGACTTTTTGCCACCAGTTATGACTTAGAACTTAAATGAATCCCCTAAGATGTTAATACTGCATGATCTTTGCCTTCAGATACTCACCCTCTACAAACCCGGGGGGCATGCTGTTGCTGCTGTTTGGTCCCTGCGGGAAGAAACAGGAGAATGTGGGTCTGAGAGCATCAGGAGCCTGTGTGCTGGGAACAACACCTAAGAGCATCTCACGAATGTCCTGTATCCTGGGAGGAGAGGGTGAGGGGCATGGCTGGGTCATATGAGACATTGGGACAGAATGGCACAAGGATGGAGATTTCTTGAGCCATAGCCTCAGCCTTGACATATTGGAGGAGGCTAGAATGACCCTCCCTCCCACACAGTGAGAGAGCTTGTCCCAATCAGTGTTTTCCAGGGATGCCTGAAGGAACCCTAGGTCTATCAGGTTTCCTGTGGACAAAGGATTCATCATGCACTCAGAGAGGTCCAGCCAAAGGGGATCGCCACCTGGACCATGGGGTTCCAAGTGTCCCTTAGAGGAACTCTAACTTGACCTTACAGACATGTTGTTGGATGAAAACAGCTACTTCTGAATAACATTGTATTTACTGAAGCTGGGCATGGTGGTGTTTACATGTAACGTCAGTACCCGGGAGGCCAAGGCAGGAGGATTGCCAGGAGTTTAAGGCCACTCAAAACTACACAGAGTTCCAGGTCAGCCTAGACTACAGAGTGAGACCCTCTCTTCAAAATCCAATCAAGAAAACCACATACAGCCGGGTGTGGTGGCACATGCCTTTAACCCAGCACTTGGGAAGGAGAGGCAGGTGGATCTCTATGTGTTCAAGGCCAGCCTGGTCAACATAGTGAGTTCCAGGCTAGCTGGGGCTACAGGGAGACCCTGCCTCAAAAAGACAAAACAACAACAACAAAAAACCCATAATATTTTCTGCGGACACATACTTGATAGTTTGGTAGTAAATTCACAGAAAAGGGTTTTTAAGTGTCCATGTCAAACTGATAACTTCCTTTAGGGGATTTGACACTTCCGGAACTCTATAATTCATGACTTTATCTTCCTAAAAGTGTGCCTGTGTGTCACACATAACACTAAATATTCATTTGAAAAAGAAAGCTGAGGAAACACTGAGGGATACTTGATCTTTGGGGAAAATTCTAAAAGGTTCTGAGATGTCCTGTAGGAAAGGCACCTGTGGAAACGAAGGTTTCTCAAACACATTTGCCCCGGGAACCCAGTCTCTGTGGAACACTGTCTTAAATTACCTCTGGGCCAGTGCTCTGCAGGAGGGAGCAGTGAAAGCTGACAACTGCACCCCTTCAATCTGCTCTCAGAAATAACAGAAACTAGGGGAGAAACCTTTTATCTCCTGCTGGGAGAAGAAGAGCAGACCTGGGAGTGACTTAGGGGTTGTGGTCTATAACCAGATCAGATGTCACCAGTGTAAGAAGTTTGTATAATACCAGGCTGTGTTAACAGAGGCCAACTGCAACGACAGAGGGGTGACTACTGCAGTATTGTTCCTTTTCCAGACATATTCCTACTGTAGGCCTTGGGCTTGGAGAAGGACAAACAGGATGGAGAGAAGGCAGGAGTTCACATCCTGGAAAAGGGGATTCAGATGGGCTGAGGTTCAGGTGAAATCTTTGCCTTCAGGGACTGGAAGTGTTTGGGGGGAGGATTGGATAAAGGAATAAGGATTATGGGTAATTGGCCTCCCTTCAACATGAGAAAGAACTTTATTATTATTATTATTATTTTATTGTGTGTGTGCATCATGTGTGTATGTAGGCATGTATGGAGGTCAGCAGACAACTTGGAGTTGGTTCTTTCCTTCTACCTTCATGTGGGTTCTGGGGATTGAACTCAAGTCACCAGGCTTGTACAGCAAGTATTTTTACTCAATGAGTCTGAGTAAAGGAGGAACTTTCTAAGGGACCAGCTGAGAAAGGAGCGCATCCCACCCTGGGAAGCACCAAACATGCTGGACTTCCCTTACTACCCTCAGATGAGGGTTAGGATCAAAGGGCTACAGAGCAGACATAACCCCAGGTTTAGAGTAGGAAGGCCCTGGCTTGATGGCTTCCCAGCTGCTTGACACCCCCAGGGCTGCTGAGCCTCCTTGAGCCTTGGTCACCCTGACTGTAACTGGCATCCTCCTGCTTCGTAGCTCAGAGTGAGGTTTCTCAGGGGTGTGCCTACTCCTTGTGCCTGGAACAGACTGGGTACCTAGGGAATAGGAGCAAAATTACACCTGCCAGGCCTCTGTGAGTACAGTCATGACCATGGCTTCTCCCAGCATCTCACCATTATCTCTGCTGTCACTGCTCTCAGGATGACCCTAGCCACCATGACCAGTGGCTCCTGCCCCATCACCACCTTGACTGAAGTCCCCAGCATGAGCATTTGCCTCTGTCTTGGTAACTCTCGATCCTACACTCTTCATGACCACATGGTCTTTGGTAAGTTATTTAATCTCTGTCCTCCTCTGTAAAATGGGTAGAATACAACTTGATAGCTACAATAGTCCATTGTGAAGACTGAGCATGATAAAACTCATAAAGTGTGTGGTCAGTTCCATCTAAGTGTAAAGTAAGTAAATAACATTACAACTTCCTTTTGAGCATGTGAATTGTGAATGTGTGTGCGTGTGTGTGTGTGTGTGTGTGTGTGTGTGTGTGTCCAGGTGAGTGTGCACATGCATGTGGAGGTCTGAGGTTGATGTCATGTGTCTTCCTCAATCACTCTCATATGTGGAGAGGCAAGGTTTCGGACTTGAACCCAGAGCTTCTCAATTTGGCTCACCTATATATCTACCTTACTCTGAGGATCCCATCTGTCTCCTGAGTGCTAGGATTATAGGGGGTGGTACTGTAGATCCAAACTCTGGTCCTTACCCTTGGGTAGCAAGTACTTCACCCACTGAGCCATCTCCCCAGTACCCTACTATTGCTGTTGCCCCCCTTCCTGGGATTGCTGTTGAATCCTTGCCAGGTAGATGGATGGCCATGCTGATTCTATGACTGGTGTGATTATTGGTCTGCCTTCAGATTGCTGTCAGCATTACTGCAGCTATGGCCCATGCTGGAGGCCTACAGTATCCATTCAACCTGACTGAGAGGCTGAGGCCTGAGCTAGCCCCAGTCCCAGCTGCCACACAGGAAGCAGCTTCTATGCCAGGGGAAGCATCCTGGAGGTGGCTGTGCGTGCTATCTTATCCTAAGCTCACTCTTCTGGGTCAGGGGAAGAAAGGAATTAAGAGCCTTGTGGCAGGCACTGGGTGGCTCCCTGGGGTGCCAGCGCCCTCCTCTACTCACCAGCTTGCTGGAAGATGTGGGATGCGGTACATAGACAGGGCTCCGCTGATTGGCACTTGGCTCTGTTTTTGAGGTCTTACTTACATCCTGAAGGAACTTGGACTTTATGCATCCCATCCTGCAGTAGACAGAAGGGAAAACGGAGAAGGAGCTTAGGCTGGGCAGAGCCCCACAGAGGCCTTTACATTTCTGTCTTGCCAGGCTGACTCCCACCAGCTCCAAGTGAATGCACTTTGACTCTTGGCTTCCCCTAGGCCCATCTGCCATGGCACTTGACTGGAGTCCACAAGGTATTCTAGTCCTGGGCTCCAAAGACCGCTGGGATGAATTTATTCAGAGGGAAAATCAGGGGGATAATGGAAATGGCAAGGCAGAGCTGTGGAGCAGAGTGGGGAATATGGGTGGTGGGTGCTGCAGGCTCTCGGATCAGGAAGCTGGAGTTGATCCTGGCTTCTGGCCCCCCAGCACCTCATCTATCACTCCCCATCTAGAGCCCCAGCGGCTTCCTCATCCACAAGTGGAAATGATAATGAAACCCACCACAGAGTGCTGGAAGGATGGGAAGCATCTGGCAGTGGGGAAATGCTCAGCACAGGCTCTAGACGGGACTCCAGTTTCCCAGGGAGTCCACCAAAGAATAAAACTGCTGTCACCATGTCGTAAGTCACAACCATGAGGATGCAGAATGTAGCTCCAATGATCTAGATACGTAATAACTAAGGCACCATACTCCTGGTATCATAATTGGCTTCTAACTAACTCCTTCCTCTCTCTTGTCCCGCTTTTTTTTTTTTCTGGTCTTTTTTGAGACAAGGTCTCCCTGTAGCCCCAGCTGGCCTAGAACTTACTATGTAGACCAGGCTGGCCTTGAACTCACAGAGATCCGCCTGCCTCTGTCTCCTGAGTGCTGGGATTAAAGGTATGCGCCACCATGCCCGACACTCTCTTGTCCCTCTTTACTCCTTTTTTTACTCCCCCTTTCCTTCCTTTCATCCTTTTCTTCTTCCTCTCTAGTGGATTTATTTGGTCATTCATTCATCCACTTAATAAACATTTAAGTTCTTTTCTTTTTAAAAAAAATTTGTTTGTTTTTTGAGACGGGGTCTCATGTATCCCAGCTGGCCTCCAACCTAGCTATGTAGTCAAGGATGGCCTTGAACTTCTGATCCTCCTGCCTCCACCTCCTAAGTGCTGGGATCACAGGCATGCACCACCACACACAATTTATGTGGTTCCGGGGATAGAATCCAGCGCTTTATGCATGCTAAGTAAGCACAAACTGAGCCATATCCCCAGTTCAACATTCACATTTCTTTTCTTAAAAAATTTATTTATTGTCTAAAATTTTATGTGTATTAGCGTATTGCCTGCATGTAGGTAAATGCACCCGTGTCATGCAATGCCCACGAAGGTCAGAAGAGGCTGTCAGATCCCCTGGGACTGGAGTTATGGACAGTTATTAGTTGCCATGTGGCTGCTGGGATTTGAACCCAGGTCTTCTGCAAGAACAACCAGTGTTCTTAACTGCTGAGCCATCTCTCCAGCCCCACATTTCTTTTCTAAACTGTGAACAAGACAGTTATTGTCTTTAGGAAGCTCAATCAGAGATGAAAAGGAAACACAGATAACAAGCAAGTGAACAGATAACTGATAAGACGAATAATTCAGTGACAAGCTTGAGGTTAGTAGTAGAGGATGCTGTAGGGAATAACTGGGCAGAACCCTCAAGACAGGGCCGATGGGGAAGGCTTCTCTTAGGTGATATTAGATCAGGTGTCTGAGTGACAGAAAGGGCTCTCTGAGAAAGGGGAGGGAAGAACAGCAAGTGCAAAGGCCCCGAGACTGGCAAGAACCCTGTAGGCAGGCCAGGGTGGCTGGAGTGCTCAGGCAGGGGAAGGTATACGACAAAGCTGCATCTCACAGGCCAGTGAGGAATTTGTATTTTACTCTAGGGAGAGTGAAAAGCATGGGGACTTCAGAGCAGAAGAAGGATGAGGTTCAACCTACACTTTGAAGGTTAGTTTTATTTCATTTCCATGCTGGTTATTGAGCCTGGGCCTCTATACCTTTGAGCTATATCCCCAGTACATCAATTTGCACTTGAAGCTAAACCACTGGTTGCCTAGGGGAGTACAGGAGCACAGAAGCAAGGCAGAGACTTTGTGGGGAGACTGCTGTAGTTGCCAGCCATGGGTCGATGGCAGCCCAGGGTGGCCCTCTAAAGGAGTGAGTGCTCTCTACTTTTTGGAGGTAGAGCTCTCAGACTGCTGCTGCTCTATTAAAGATGCTAGAGCAAACACATTTACCTGTTTGTTTTCAGACAGGATCTCACTATATAGTACAGGCTACCCTCAAACTCACACTCTCCCTGCCTCAGCCTCCCAGTGCTGGGATTGCAGATGTGTGTCAATGCATCTGGCTGCTTACCTAATGATTGGAGTCAAAACTTACTTGCAGGGAGCTATGGGCCTAGCTCAGTGGTAGAGGGCTCACTTAGCATACACAAACACTTGATTGTGGCTGCAGTTTCTTTTCTCTATATGGTGGGTGTCTACTCAGAGTGCAGGCTGTGTATAACCACAAGAGGAAGTGCTGGCTTCCCTAGCACTGCACAGGGATACTTTTCTTCTGAAGCAGTGAGAACTTGTTATACTATGACATACCACCCTGAACATGCCCCCTCTCATCTGCTCTTAGAAGCTAAGCAGGATCAGGTTGGTTAGTACATGGATGGAAGAACTCAGTTATATTTGTTAAATACACTTATGCTTTAAGAAAGAAAGAAAAATTCTTCGGCTAAAGGGAGTTACTTTGAAAAAAAATGAAAAGCTCTCTAGCTGTGTGCGCTGACATGTCTATAAATCCAGCATTCTGGAGGCTGACGCAGGAGGACCTCAAGTTTGAGGCCAGCCTGGACTACAGGGAAATACTGTGTCTCAAAATACCAGGAAAAGCTGGGCATGGTGGCTCATTCCTTTGATCCCAGCACTTGGGAGGCAGAGGCAGGAGTATCTCTGTGAGATTGAGGCCAGCCTGGTCTACATGGCAAGCATGGCAAGTTTCAGGCTGGGGTTACAGGTAGACCTGTCTCAAAAAGACCAAAAAAAAAAAAAAAAAAAAAAAAACCCAGAAAAAGGACTGACAATGTAGTTCAGCCTTGGACACTCAAGCAAACTCTAACTTTGATTCCTACTACTGCATACACTAGGCATGGTTGTACACACCTGTAACCTAGAACTATGGAGATAGGAAGATCAGAAATTCAAGGTCATTCTCAGCTAATAATAATAACCGAGTTGGAAGCCAACCTGGGCAACAAGAGACCCTGTCTCAAAACAAACAAACCCTGTCTTAAAAAAATGATTTCTTGTATTTAACAATATTTCTCTGTCCTGGGAAGAAGTTGGCACCTCAAGATGCAAAATATATATTTATGTATATTACTTCATTAAGTAAATAAAATAAAGAACACATTCCAATTCCTGCAATTCTGGATTCTGGATTTGAACATTTATCACAATTAATCAACTGTTTTACAATTTAAAACTGAAACCAGCACCTCTGATTTGTGACAGATATATTTGACAGTTCTGGAAAATTAAGCAGCAACTTGTATGATTTTTTTAACATGGCGTAAAATCACAGTACATTTCATATATCTTGATCCACCTCAGGAACATGCTGTGTGAGGCAGGGCAGATCCCTCCCCCTATCTGAGCAATGGGGTCTGCAACTGTGAGCACTGCTGCAGAGAATCCTCAGCTTGAAGCACAGAGCATCTACTGAGCATCATTTACATGGCCCATTCACATATTCATGGAGACCAGAGGTCCTGAGGGACTGGTACCATTCTGAACTCCAGGGGCCATCTCAGGAATGATGGTGGGGTCCTCTTTATTTTCTTCTGTTTCTCACTTCCTTTCTTTCACGTGCTTTAGTCACACTCTGAACAGAAAATGGGACCCCAAGGCCTTGCAGGAAGCAGCATAAGGCCCTGAGAGATAACTCTCTGAAGCAGGGTCTCAAACTAAGAAAGACTCCACCTTTTTGCTTTCTTGTCTCCTATAGATATCAGTATACATTTTGGTTTGTATTTTAAAATACTTAAAAAGATACAGAAATGGCTGGAATGTGAGGGGAGAGGAGAGACAGTGAGGGCTTGAACAGGAAAGGTGCAGAAATGTACATACAAACAGACATTCCCTACTTGGATGCTTGGATCCCTTCCAGGGTCAAAAAACATCATCTTGGCTCAGGGACCTGTATTTCCACAGTATCATCACATGAACAGCCATTTTCCTCCAGACCATGGCTTTAATGAAGCTGGAGACTGACCTTATAATTAGGGGAATTTGACAGTAAGAACCAGGCAACTTCTCCAAACCAAAAGCACAGTATTTAGGAAGTTTTTTTTTGTTTTTTTTTTGTCTTTTTGAGACAGGGTCTCTTATAGCCCCAGCTGTCCTGGAACTCATTATGTAGACCAGGCTGGCCTCAAACTCACAAAGATCCACCTGCCTCTGCATCCCAAGTGCTGGGATTAAAGGCATGCGCCACCATGCCTGGCTTGAGGAGGGTTTTTAAAAAATATATTTATTGTTTATTATTTTTATTTTATGTGTATGAGTGTTTTGCCTGTATGCAGGTAAGAACACCCATGTTATACAATGCCCGCAGAGGTCAGAAGAGGGCATCAGATCCCCTGGAACTGGAGTTACAGACAGTTACAGTCACCATGTGGGTGCTGGGAACTAAACCAGGGTCCTCTGCAAGAGCAGCCAGTGCTCTTAACTGTTGAGCCATCTCTCCAGTCCCTTAGGAAGGTTTTGAATCTTCTGAAAGTTGAATGCCATCTCGAATAATCTTCCATGGTTCCAGCCCTTCCAGGTCTTGACTGGGACCTGAACAACTTTTCTCATTTCATCTGTGATTTTTCTCTATGACTTTTCCCTCATCATCTATTTCTAAGCAGCATTTGCTTAGATTAAGTTTTCCACAGACACCTCTCTCAGAGACCAATAAGTAATCTAAGGCCAAGGAGTTCTGATAGATAGCACTGTGCATTTTGGCTTGCTGTTTGGCTAGTAGGTTATGTGTCCTTGTGGTTTCATTGACTAT